TATAATTTGCGATGAAAATATGAGCATTTGCTGCTACTGTCTGTTGTCATTAATATACGATAATTTATTCTCACGTACTTTGTATTTAGTTTATGAAATTCTGTGCTTTCAATAAAACTCATATACCTAGAGTTATTAATTCCTCATTTTATCCGGCCCGTTGAAAGTGCTGAATTACCTAATGTGGCCCGCGGTTCGAAAAGTTTGGAGACCCCTGATCTACGTCATTGATGATGACACACTCACGCACTCACTCACTCTTGGAGCTGAACCCTTCTTGAGAAGCTGCCAATTGTGAAGATATTCAAGAACTTCCCACCATTTTATGGAACCCGAAGGTTCATTATCTTGTTCACAAGATCCCTTCACTGATCCATATCCCGAGCCAGATCAATCCAATCCCTACCATCCCATCCTATCTCTTTAAGATCCATTCTAATATTGTCCACCCACCTATGCCTTGGTCTTCCCAGTGGCCTCCTTCCTTCCGGCTTTCCCACCAATATCCTACATGCATTCCTCTCCTCCCCTATTCGTGCTACATAACCTGCCCACCTCATCCTCCTTGACTTGATCATTCTAATTATGCTTGGAGAAGAGTACAAGTTATGAAGCTCCTCATTATGCAGTTTTCTCCAACCTCCTGTCACTTCATCCCTCTTCGGTCCAAATATTCTCCTCAACACCCTGTTCTCAAACACCCTCTGTCTATGTTCCTCCCTTAATGTCAGAGACCAAGTTTCACACCCATACAGAACCACAGGCAAAATTATAGTTTTTATGTTCTAATTTTTATGTCTTTGGACAGCAGACGAGAGGACAAAAGGTTCTGGACTGAATGGTAGCAAACATTACCCGAATTCAATCTCCCCTTAATTTTCTCCTGAATCAGGTTTCAGACGATGAAACACTAGAAATATTTTAGTCACAGTACATCAGAATCCGTGTCTAGAAGCTGACAGTTGCTCACCTAGCCAAAGTCACTAAAGACATCCACAGTTCTTCATGACAGGAGCTTATCTTTGAACCAAACGAATCCAATCCACCTCTTCATACAGTACGTAACGTAACCCTACAAGTACAGCATCGACAATTGCAACCTTATAAAGGTGTCTGTGATGACACGATCGAAAATTTCGACTTTGCAAGAACCGCTTTATCTGTCAGCACATGATATCTGTTGTCATTGAACAAAACTCCGTGGCCTTCAGTCCACAAGCGAACTATACCGACCGAGGGACCGCCACTTGTCGATGAAGTTAGTACCAACTTTTGCAGATAGAAAGTGTCTCGTGGTCATGGCAACGAATCACCACGACCGTTAAATTCAGTTTTCTAGACCGGAGCCGCTATTTCCTTGTAGTAGCTCCTCAATTATCCTCACGAGGCTGAGCAGACCCCGTTCCAGACCCACTACTTCTCAGAAAATCTGGTAGCGCTGGGAATCGAACCAGGGATCTCTGGATCTGTAGCCGGGAACTTTGACCACTAGACCACAGAGATCAGCGAGTTATTGCCAATATGACAATAGCCCTTCCAGATACATAAAATAACATTTTCTTGGCTGGGAGAGGAACTAAAAGCGCTTAAAAGGAGTACGTAAAGCTTAACAATCCTCAGAGGTTGGTCTTTCTTTTATTTAATGTTCTACGTGGAAACAAAGATTTACCAGAAGTAAACAACTTTCATTTTCTTGTCACTTCTTTGAGTGCTTCTCGAATTGTTAAAATACATATAATTAGAATGATCAAGTCAATGTGAATGACATAGGCAGGGCATATAGCACGCATGAGGAAGAAGACGAATGCATATAAGATTTTGATTGGAAACCCATAAGGAAAGAGACAACTGAGAAGAAATTGATGATGGTGGGAGGATAATGTTACAAAAGCTCTGGGAAGAAAAATTCGCCTACTTTCCTATGTTATGATACGGATCATATAGTAAACGATGCATCCAATATGTGCATTCGTTGCTGCGGAATGTGTTTATTTAGACGTTGCTTAGCAAAGATTTAAGCCGGATACGCAAACAAACACACACACACAAGCTAATCTCATAAGAATCCTTTTTTAAAAGTAAGGGAAGTGGACTAAAAATGGATCTTAGAAATATGTTATTATACTTAAGCATCCTGTTGCACTTATATACCATTTTTTCATATATTTCGGTCTCCAATGCAACTTATTGTTAGCTGCATCTGAGACAGAATTATTTTATGAAATAAGTTTAGAAATATGATTTTGAGGTATGGATTGGTTTTATCTGGCTCAGGGTAGGGACCAATTGAGGGCTGCTGTGAATACGGTAATGAATCTTCGTGTTCCACAAAATGTTGGTTATTTCTTGAGCAACTGAGCGACTGACAGATTCTCAAGAAGAACTCGGTTCTCTAATCGTTAAGACCGACATGAATTCCGCAATTATGCGAGTATGCTCTTGTCGAGACAGTTACGAAGTGGACTTGTATGCTTCTTATCCCTACATACAGATATGCTTCGGTCCAGCACATGGAGTAGGAAGCAAAGCTACTTTCATATGTCGTTTGGTTGCCCCGGTAACCAGCGATGTGTTGTGTCGTGGGATGCCTGCTTACCTGGCGGTCGTTGACTCTTTGTCCTAGTGAACTAACCCCCCTCATCAGCACTTCCTCAGCCAGGAACTCTTTGCACGATACATACATATATTGCAAGATGCTACAGCAAGCGGCAATTTGGCAGAGTACGAGTAAGCTGAGTGACGCGTTTCTTGAACTTTTACATCCTTACTTACAACGAGTGAAGAGATCAAAGACAGACGTCGGATCTAGAAATCGCGTCATCAGTTTAAGACATTTTACAAGTATTATCAACATCTCGGCCAATAAGGACTGTTCAGAGTCTCAGTGTTAATTTATGCATCTTCTTCCAGGTCTCCCAACATACTGTTTAAACTAATTCTCTGTTTTACTGCTCTCGTGCCAAAATTCTCATTGTTTCCTTAATCGGTATAAAAAAACGAGCTACGGATAGGACGGCCGGGGTTCGAATCCCGGCAGGGGCAATGTATGTCTCTTTTCCACACGGTGCAAACCGGCTCTGGGGCCCACACAACCTCCTATCCAATGAGTACCAGAGGCTCTTTCTCAGGGTTCATTGGCCGAAAAGTAAAGCTGACCACTAACTTCCTTCTAATACCGAAGTCAAGAATGTTGGAGCTATACCTCCACTCCCCTTATGTCTTCATGGCCTAGCGCTTAATTGATTAATTTAGCAAAGGGACATATATACCATTTATTTCTTAAGTAAGCATCGTACTACGAAGGTGTATGGAGGAGCAGAGATGTAGTTCCATGCACTCTGCTTTGTTTCCTTGACACTACAGCTCCAGTGGGCCTAGGCCTACCTCCATGAACTTCTCCGTTCACTTCGGTTTTTCTAGATTTTACACATTCGGTAGGACTCCTTGGGCGGGTGATCAGCTTGTCGCAAGGCCTCTACCTGTACACAAATACAGAAGAAAGCACACACACACAAACTAAACATCCATGTCCTGAGTGGGATTCGAACCCACGATCCCGGTTTCCAAGCGAGCGAAGACAGTACATGCCTTAGACCGCTAGGCTACCGTGACCGGCTACGCACTCCGCTTTACTCCCAGGTAAAGTGACCCTTGTACCTACTGAACACAAAGCTGGGTGGGGCCTCAGAGCCTGTCTGGACATGATGGCCGAGAGAAGAATTCTTGCCGAATTGGGAATTGAGTTTCGATCCCATAAACCATAGCCTATCCACTATATGCACTGAAATGTCTTCACCCCCATTCGACTACAAAGGTGTCTAAAATAATAAATGTTTCTTTTAAAAAAATTCTTCGTCATTTCATGTCTCATCCTTGACGCTTCATGCTCAGATCAACAAATTAAGTAAGGCCTTCTTTGTTTTACGAGGTGGGTGAGTTTGATTCCCTTGATACTGACGCCTCAAATGAATGCATTGCACCAATCCCTGATGGCATCATTATGGGATACTGATGGAATTTTTTTCACTTTCTCTACAGCCCCTTCAGCCCCGGCCTCTGATTTTCAGTTTCATGATAATTTTGCAGATGGTAAGACTCCTTGGACGGGTGATCAGCTCATCGCAAGGCCTCCACCTGAAAACAGGTCAATACAACCACAGAATAAAGGCATACACATCAAACATCCATGCCTTGTGTGGGATTCAAACCCATGATCCCGGCTTCCGAGCGAACGAAGACAGTACATGCCTCAGACCGCTCGGCTACTGTGACCGGCAGTGTATAAGAATAATATATAAGAATTCAGTCCGTACCTCACAGGAAACAGATCCGAACCCACGATCCCGGCTTCCGAGCGAGCGAAGACAGTACATGCCTTAGTCCGCTCGGCTACCGTGACCGGCAGTGTATAAGAATAATATATAAGAATTCAGTTCGTACCTCACAGGAAACAGATCCGAACCCGCGATCCCGGCTTCCAAGCGAACGAAAACTGTACGTGCCTTAGATCTCTGCTACCGTGACCGGGCATTAATGGAAATATAGGCATTAACTTGTAAAAAAAAAAAAACCTTAAGTGATCAGAGAAAAGGCCGGCCCAATGCAATTAAAATGTAAAAAGGTAAATCTGTCTCTCTGTGCTTAACTAATTAAGCACTATGACATGAAGGCTTACGGTGCAGTGGATGTAGAGATCCATTCTTTCGGCACTATTTGGAGGTGAATGATCAGTTTCTAGTCCCGGCCGCTTCAACCCCGGAGAAAGAGCCCTTGGTACCCGTTGGACAGAACGCTGGGTGGGTCCGAGAATCGGTCTGGACGATGCGGAGAAGAGAAAATTCTTGACCCTAATGAAAATCGAACTCCGACCCCTCCCTCGTCTAGCCAGTAGCTAGTCGCTATATCGACTGCGATGTCCCGGACCAGTGTCATTTCACTCACAATTTCTACGTGCATCATCCTGGACCTGAACTCGGGCCTATGCTGCGAGAGTGTGACAACTTAGCGCCTGAGTTTGGTTACGAATCCTTTTAGCCATTAGAACTCAAGTGGGAACGCTTTTTACTTCATCGGGAGGCGACCACTTCAGATCTTAGCTGGGACCCTGATTATCCTGAGATTTTTCGTAGTTAGTTATCCTATATGCTGGGATATAAAAAAAACGAACTCCGTGTCCTGTAATCCTCAAGAAAACTATACCGACCGAGCGACTGCCGCTTGTCGGTGAAGTTAGTGCCAACTTTAGCGGATAGAGAGTGTCGCGTGGTCATCGCAACGGATCCCCACGCCCGTTTATCTCGGTTTTCTAGACCGGAGCCGCTATTTCCTTGAAATAGCTCCTCAATTATCCTCACGAGGCTGAGTGGACCCCGTTCTAGACCCACTACTTCTCAGAAAATCTGGTAGCGCCGGGGATCGAACCCTGACCTCTGGATCTGTAGCCAGGAACTCTGACCACTAGACCACAGAGGCAGTCATGATGCTGGGGTAATACCCCAAATTAGACCACGACCTCTTTACTTCACATTTCTCCATCTCGACATTTCGCCATTCGACGCTATGTTGACTGAGCTACTGTTAGCGTCGGTAAATAAACTACAGATCTAGCGATAGACGTCTAGCGCGCAGACGCTGAGGGTTTCTTCGCTTATTTAACGACGCTGTTAAAATTCATATTACCCGCCTCACTTGCTGTAGAGAAAAATGGATAAGCTTCCGCACTGCAGTGACTCCGATGTTTCAGATTGCCCCAGAAATGAATCAGGTAAAGTTCATTGAACCGTCGCCTCAGCGTATTTTCAAGTAACGTCCGTCGATCTGTTGGTCTGGTCTCACGGCCATGAACATGAATGGAAACATATATTCCAGGAGAGTAAACACATATTTCATATATATTCTATTTTACAAGACCGTTTTCCTGATGTTTATTCGTTACACAACACAGATGTATACTACATGACTCTACCTTGCTGAAGCCTCAGAATATCGAAATATCTTAGACTGAAGTTCTCATGTTAATGGTAAAAATATAAAGTTGTCCCTGTGCTTAACAAATTAAGCACTATATCATTAAGACGTAAAATGCATAATGAGGAACTTCATAACTTGTACTCCTCGCCAAGTATAATTAGAATGATCAAGCCAAGAAGGATGGGGTGGGCAGGGCATGTAGCACGAATGGGGAAGAGGAATGCATATAGGATATTGGTGGGAAAGCCAGAAGGAAAGAGACCATAAGGAAGACCAAGGCGTAGATGGGTGGACAATATTAAAATGGATCTTAGCAAGATAGGATGGGATGGTATGAATTGGATTGATATGACTCAGGATAGGGACCAGTGGAGGGCTCTTGTGAACATGGTGATGAACGTTCGCGTTCCATAAAATGCTGGGAAATTCTTGAGTAGCTGCAGAATTGGCGACTCCTCAAGAAGGGCTCAGTTCCGTAAGTAAGTAAATAAGTAAATCATGAAGATGTACGGGGAGTGGATGAACAGATCCACATTTTCTTGACCTCGGCATTAGCTGGAAGTCAGTGGTGAGCTTCACGCCCTTGTCGCTTTACATCCGAGGAAAGATCGCCCGGTACTCATTGGATAGGAGGCTGAGTGGGCCCCAGAGCCGGTCTGGACGATATGGAAAAGATAAAATTCTGATCCTACAGGGACTCGAAGTCAAGGACGTAAGCAGTCGCTATACCGACTGCGTTACCCCGGCTCACCCTCACGGTAACGAGTATCTCAAATTTAAGGCCGTGTACTTTGGCAGAAACCTTGGGTCGCGCCATAGTCCGACGCAAGGCCGCCACCTAACACACAGACAAACATCCATGCCTTGAGTGGGATTCGAAAACGCGATCCCAGTGTCCGAGCGGGGCAAGACAGTTCATGCCTTGGACCGCGCGGCCACTGCGATCGGCTAACACCGAATAACGTTTGTATATTTCCCGAATTGTATTTATGGTATTCTCAGAAGGAAAATATTTTTCCTTTACGATATACAACCGGTCGGTTTTGTAATGTAGACACTGTATGTAATGCCCTACTTGAAAATATAAAAACTGAGGAGATATATTACATTTTAACATCGTCGAGGACATGAATTAAGTATTTTCATGGCTAATTGCCAGGAGTCCGTATAAGCCCCCCCCCCTGTAGTGTTTATCTAAATCATTAACAACCGGATGTTCAAGTTTCAATTTAACGCTCTGAAGCACAGATATCTAAATACTCTTTTTCTCCTTCTGCCTTTACGAATTAGGCTCTCTGGCCTGTTCCAAATCAGAATCAATTAATTTTGAAATTAGATCTTACAGACAGTCGATAGGATTCCTTGGACGGATTATCAGACCGTCGCAAGGCCGCTATGTGCACAGGATAACACGAACAGAACGAACGAAGACATCCATGCCTCGAGTGGGATTCGAACCCATGATCCCAGTATTTGAATTGGCGAGGACATTTCATGCTATTGTGATCCGCCTCCTAAATATTAATGTTTAAAAATTCAGTACCTACCTCGCAGGAAACACACTATATCACCATTACACATATCAAAACGATAATAATTTTCGTAGAAGTATAACCTATCTGTATTTCGAGAACAACGTGAAAACCACAAATGCATTCTTCAGGGAAAAATGCTGAGTTTTCAATGTTAATACGGATGACACATACATGTTCT